ACTTTTTAGAAAGCTTAGGATGTCCCCTAAGCAACCCTTTTTGTATCATCTCAATTGAGTCTTCCATGTTCATGTAAGAAACTTTGACCCAAAACGTGTTTTTGTTGTCTTTTGAAAAGGACCTATAATGTCTGAATTTATATCTTTTCATGAGTGCATTTCTTGAACTTGTGGTATGAATATGAATTATAGGGAATTGCATCCTCTTCAAAATGAGCTTTGGATGGAAAATTTCTGATAAAGAATGTGGAAGTTATGCTTGGTCAAAGTTTGGTTGACTTTTACTAAGAAACCCTAATTTAACAACTTTTAGGTTTTGATGAATTTGGAGCATTCCTTGGGGAATCATGATCAACCCTTGATAAAATGATGAAAGTCACTTCAAAATGTTAATGTTGACCAAAACTATTGAAATTTGACTGTATGTGGGTCACAATTGACTTTTGACCTAATATAGTCGATTCTCAAACATCTGAGCAGTTGACTGAGCAAACTTCTTGTGCAAGGCATGAAACTTGACATGTAGGTTCTTGGGAACATATTAAGACCGTGGAGAGTATATGAGGACTTTTTGGTTCACCCATCTTGGTGAAAATGGAAACCCTAATTTGAGGTATACTGCCTTAGGAGAGAGTTTATCTGGTCCACTCTTGGGTAACCTTGAGCAAATTGAGGATCTCTAGGAGTATGTATTGAGTAAAGTGAGAGGGAAAATTGTAGGGTACAACAGATGGCTTATGTATGATGTTTGGAAGCTTTTGGAGGCAAAAGGCCAGGAAACGCACAAGTGAAATGGAAGTTTGAAGTTCTTGAACAGAATATGCAACAATGGTGGTTTGTGATGTAGTTCTGAGTTTTAGAAGTTTTCAGGGCTTGTCTATCTGTGTTTTATATTGTAAATAGTGTATGTATTTATAGGCAAGAGGTCTTATGTCTTATAACAACTCAGAATTTGAAAAATCAAATGTTGTAGCATCTTTTTGGTTTTTGAAGCAAAGTTGAAACATCTTGTTTCAAGGCAAGGTACAGGGCTGCATAGAGTGGTTAGTACTTTGGACATGCTTGCTTTTGGTTTATAGGGTTTGTGTGTGCAGAAAGAACAAGTTCAATGCTCAAGGAGAGTGGACTTTGTGATTAAAGCCACTTTTCAAGAATGATAATGTTGCCTTTCTTCCAAAAATGGAAATGCAACTTGGATAAAGGTTCAAATTCTTGGATAATGGCTCCATATGTTGTGTAAACATTTAATTATGGAGTGACAAACAATTTTGAGGCATGAAAAGCAAAGATTATGCAGCCTAGCATGGATTTGGTTCAAGTGTTCATCAAAAATGACTTGTAATTCAAGTGACAAAACCCTAACTTCATCTCTTCGATTCTCCCTACTCAAGAATGATCTCAAGGAGTTCTTGGACATTTTGGAAAGCTTGCAATGTGATCTACAACCCATATTTGAATTGCTTTTGAAGATTACCCTTGGAACTATATGAAAAAGTGCCATGAAGTTGGGTCAAAATCCTGACCAAATTAGGGCAAAATTTCACTAAGTGTTTAGTTTCATGACCACATGTTCATAAAATTATAACTTGAGATCCAAGCATTTTTGGAAAGAGTTGTGTAAAGAAAAGTTGTATACTTCATGGAGATATACAACTTTCATGTTGGAAGTTTCTCTTGAATCATCTTGTATCATGGTTAAAATTTTGTTCAAAGTTATGAAAAAACATGAAATTTCCAACACATAGAAAAATTTCTAAGTTTAGAAATTTTGACTTTTCAAAATGAAATCTTGAATTTTTGATTTCTTGATGAATAAGTTTCATATTTTGACATGTTTATCTAAATTATGATCTTTGGCACTTGAATTTGACCAAAAAAGGTCAAAGTTTGACTTTTTAGTATATAGTTGACTTTTGATCAGTTGACTGAAAAATTCATCTGTCAATCCAATGGACTTGCAATGTTTTAAACAATTCCATTAGGTCAAAATGATGAAATTAGAGTCTTGAGATCATGCCTTAAACCAGTTGACCATTTTCTAGGTCAAAAATCAGAAATTGCCCCTTCTCAGTCAAAACCCTAATTATGACCATTTTGCCCTTTTGGAGATTTGATCAAATTTCTTGAGGAGTTATTGTCCAAACTTGATCAAATGATACATATAAGTTTAAAATGTTGATATGGATAAAAAATTATGAAGTTTGACTGTAAATTGGCCATGGTTGACTTTTCCCCCAATATAGTTGATTTTTAGGTCAATTGTTCAATTGACTGAGCAAAAATGTGATTCAAAGCTTGAAAATTGACACGAGTAATCGTGAGGGTCCATAATGATCCATGAAAGTCATATGGGGCATTGGAAGCTCAAATATTCTTGTGCAAACTCAAACCCTAATTTTGGTCATTAGTGCCTAAAAAGGTGTCTTGAGCTGATCAAACCCTAGTGCAGTCTTGGGTCAAGGGAGATCTTGTGAGCAAAATCTTGATAAATGAGAGGGAAAATTTTGGGGTACAACAATAACCTACCCCCCGAACTCAAGAAAACAATCTCAAAGGTCTTTCCTGTTCTTTTCAACCTTTCCTTATTGGAAAAAAGAAAAGTCGGTGTCGACTCTTGCTATCCGCAATAATTGCAATCAAACACAAAACACCCAAGTCAGTTCTCCCACCGTGTTACAAAAATGATAACAAAATGCATAGGTTGTTAGAAGGAGATCGATTAAGCATATACAAATGACATACCACCTAATTACCTTATTTCCTCAATGAGGAAATAAGAAAATTAAGGAACCCACGACTATTTGGAAAACAACAACTATTGTTAACCAAGTAAAATCATTCGTGATAAAAATAAGATACACTTGGGCCAGAAAAGCACGTGCTCAAAATAAAAGTAGAAAAAAATTCTATTTTATTTTGAGCACAAGTTTTTGCCAGTAAAAAAGGTATTCGTGTAGTATCTTTTGAAACGTATCAATAAGCTATACCCATACTTCGAGTTGTTTCATGCCATAAATAAACTCGAATACTTAAGAAATTCGTTGGACAAGCGAACTCACACCTCTTACAACCGACACAATCCTTTATTCTTGGGGAAGAAGCTATTTTCTTAGCTTTATATCCATCCCAATGTATAATTTCTAATATATGTGGGATAGGCTCATACACATTGAGTACATCCTATACATGTATCCTAAATCTTTAATGAATGTGACTTTATATCTATAGTAATTTTTTATGTTCAAAAACGAAAATTATCGATCTAGTAAACTCGTAAATGAATCGTATATTTATATACCATATGAATCAATGATTTGTGATAATATTGTTAACTGTTAATAAAAAAGGCGTCTAGATAAATTTAGAAGAGGGAATAGAAGAGGACCATGATACTTTGATTTCTTATGATTTAGGGAATCCAAACATGATATGATCATAAGTTGTGTCGAATAAATACTAAAATGATTTGATTAATATTACACTGTTTGAAATTCTACTTTGTTTATTTTTTATTAATTATGAAATGATTTTATGATATGGTTCATGCTATTTATTCAACAAATTTGATGAATTGATACATGTTGATTTTCTATTACGAGCAATTTGTTGCTACTGGTTTTTAAATCAGAGTCACCACCCTTAATTTTTATCCTAAAGGTAGGGAATATAATGGAGTAACCCTAAAGTTCAGAGATTCTAGATTTGGACTCGGTTCTAGACGAGGGGAAGGTGTTAGGCACCCCTTATCCACCTTGTTCAGAAGGATACTAAATTTAGAAGCGTGTTTTGGAAATAGGGTTTATATTATTATTGGAGAAAAAGGGTATGAATTTTAGTTAGGGGAAAAAAGGGTTTTAATTTTAGTTAGTGGGAAAAGGGTTTTAATTTTAGTTAAGGGGAAAGGGTTTGTTTTTTAATTATTGGGAAAGGATTTGTTTCTTAATTACTGGGACTCGTCACGCTTTTGACCGTATACCTACGTATCTTCTTAGGAGGAATCAGAGTCCCATTTGTAGTTCGTGGTTTTGTTTGTGTTTTTTATGAGTTGTAGAAATACCTCGAATTCTCTTTTGAAAATAAATATAAATTTGATTATATTAGTATATAAAAATTGATTTGAGGTTGGTTAGTTGTATTAAGACGTAGAGTGAGGGAGGTTGATATAGTCTTCTCATCACGTGGCCATATATTGGTCACGTGTCGTTCGTCGAATTGCGTGATTTTTAATTGTTTGAATAATAAACCGGTAGACGATGTGTCGATCGATTTAATTACTCAAAGACAAACATTCTATTATTTATAGGATGTTTGAATTAAATCAGAACACTTAAATTATGCACAAATTGGTTAATCTAGCATAATTAATCGAATTAAAAGGATTACATGACCAAATAAATCTAAACCCAAAAAAGATATTTTTTATATTTTCTTGCTTTTGATATTATTTATGAAACAAAATTAACTTAACATGATAATTAACTAAATTAGAAAAATCAATTAAATTAGATAATTAAAAATGTAAACCATCCAAACCTAAGTGTATGATATTAGAAGAGGTGTGAGAGGTGTAAGTAGTAATAGGGGTATGAATTTTAGTAAAAGACTAGAATCAAAGGCCCAAAGCCCAAATAGCTTAAGTTAACCCTAATTCCAAATATTAAGACTTAATAATAAAAATGAATCAAAATTGATACCAACGGGAATGGGGCGGACCATCGTGAGATTAATATTTCATCTTTAACTTAAATGAATAACCACTTACTCGGAGACACTTGGCATTGATTTTTATTGGGATCTTATGAATCAGAAACAAGAAAAAAAGGAAAGGTTACCGTGGGCATTACAAGGAGCCGTGGACGGAAATAGGTACGGCGAAAGAAACTTCGTCTGTCGGTACTCAGGGTCGTGAACTCTGGAGGTGTGGTCGTTCAAGGATGTACAGTTTGTTAGAGACGAGGTCTGTAGTGTCTCTGTAACAGCGTCGGAGTCGGATCTGGTACATGAGCAGAGGTTCGGCTTGTCGCGGCTACTGCGGTTGTTGCACGCGGTCTGGAGGGTGCAGATTTAGTATGGAGATCGGAGTTGTCGGCGAGAGCGACTGCCTTCGGTTATTGCACCCGGTCTGGAGGGTCGCACGCAATCGAGGCGTGAAGGAAGTTCCGGAGCTTGATCGGTTACCCCATTCTCTCTGTAACTTTCGTCTCTTTTTTTTGTAATTTGTCTTTTCTGCACATTTCTTCTTCTGTATAACTGTAATTTTTTTGTCGCTCTCTGTTAATTTTCTGTTTCTGTTTATCCTTCATCTTTACTGTAATCCGCTTTGGACTTTATAGCAATAGATTTTTACGGAATAGGAAATGAAATTAAGGGACGTTATTAGGGAGATTATCATGTTTTGATTTATTTAGGAAATCACAATTTTTGTTCACCATTTGTAATATAAAGTTTTTGATTTTCTATGTTTCTGCATTAAGCCCGGTATCAATTTGTAGTAAACAATTAACTCGTTTCTGTATTTGGTTTGTTCCACTTTTGGAAAGAAGTGAACGTATAGATGTTGTTTTTATTGCCTATGATTTGAAAAGTAGGTGTTTGTGAAAAAAATCAAACGTTATGAAGTTTGAGCAGGGAAGCAACAAAACATTCAAGGTGAATGTAGAAACAGCTGAAGCGGAGTGTCTTAGTGCAGAAGGCGCTGAAGTCGACAGTAAGCTGTTGCACAAGAGGTTGGGGCACTTGAACTATAGAAGCTTAGGGCATCTAAGTTCTAAGAAGATCGTACATGGCATTTCGAAGATTGTGAAGCCTCAGAAGTCATGTGAGATATGCATGAAAGGCAAGCAACCCAGATTTCCATTTGCATCAGAAGTAGCCCCCAGAGCGAAGCATGCTCTGGGAGTAGTACATTCTGATGTGTGTGGACCATTTCCAGTACCTTCACTTGGAGGAAACAAATATTTTGTGTCTTTTGTGGATGAGTTCACAAGAATGACATGGGTAACAATCATCAAGTTCAAGCATGAAGTGTTTACTGAGTTCCAGAAGTTCAAGGTGAAGGCTGAGAAGCAGAGTGGTCAGAAGCTGAAAATTCTGAGAACAAATGGTGGAGGTGAGTATAACTCTACAAAGTTCCAGAAGTTTTGTGAGGAGAATGGAATAGAACATGAGGTTACTGCTCCATATACTCCTCAGCATAATGGTCTTGCTGAAAGAAGAAACAGAACTTTGCTTGATATGACCAGAAGTATGCTGAAAGAGAAGAAGCTACCTCATATGTTATGGGGAGAAGCTGTTGCCATGTCAACATATGTTTTGAATAGGTGTCCAACAAAGAAGCTGAAGGAAATTGTTCCTTTAGAAAAATGGACTGGAGACAAGCAAAGTGTTAGCCATCTGAAGGTATTTGGTTTTGTATGCTACAAACACGTCCCAGAGGCTAGAAGACGAAAACTGGATGATAGAAGCAAAGTAATGTTACTGGTGGGATACCACAGTACAGGTGCCTATAAGCTTTATTGTCCAGAAACCAACAAAGTTGAAATCAACAGAGACGTCATTGTGAAAGAGTCAGAAACATGGGATTGGAACAAGCTTCAATCAGATTCTGGTGTAGGGCCAACACCAGAGTTAGTTTCTGAAGATTCTTCAGAAAGTTCTGAAGACGAGTCAGAGTCAGAAGATGAAGACTCTGAAGATGAGTCAGAATCTCAGGTGGATTCTGATAGTGGATCTAATTCTGATCCAGATTCTGATGATGATCCAGAATCTGGTGGTGATTATAGTTCTGGAAGGGAAAACTCTAAAGACATGGGGTCTGGAGAACAAGTTTTCAGAAGTAACTCTGAAGGTGGTAATTTGAAGGAAATAATTCTGGACAAAGTCCAGAAGCTACCATTGTTCCGAGTTCTGGAGAAGCTTCAGAATAAGATCAGAGGCCACAGAGAATTAGACGAATACCAAGTAGGTTTGCAGATTTTAGCATGTTGCATGACACTGAAGTAGATTCTGAAGGAGAAATTGTTCAGTGTGCCATGCTAGTAGATTCTGAAACAGTGGGTATTGAAGAAGCTCTCAAGAAGAAAGTATGGTTGAATGTCATGAAAGAAGAACTTGAGGCTATTGAAATAAACAAGACATGGAAGCTGACAGAACTTCCAAAAGGCAAGAAAGCCATCAGTGTCAGATGGGTTTTCAAGCAGAAGCTAAAGCCAGATAGATCAATTGGAAAACACAAAGCGAGATTAGTAGCAAGAGGCTTCCTACAGAAGCCTAGGCTGGATTACTTTGAAGTGTTTGCACCTGTGGCGAGACATGAAACAATCAGACTAGTGATTGCAATAGCTGCTAACAGAAATTGGCCTCTGATGCATTTAGATGTAAAATCTACATTTCCGAATGGTCCATTACAAGAAGAGGTGTACGTTTCACAACCTCCTGGATTTGAGAAAAAGAATCAGGAAGGGATGGTGTTCAAATTACATAAAGCATTGTATGGATTGAAGCAAGCGCCCAGAGCTTGGAATTTGAAGATTGATTCGTTTTTCAAGTAACAAGGGTTTCAGAAGTGTGAGATGGAGTATGGTGTTTATGTTCAACATACTTCAGAAGGTAATATGATTCTGGTCTGTTTGTATGTTGATGACATATTACTCACAGGAAGTTCTGAACAAGAGACAATTGAGTTCAAGAAAGTTCTGATGAATGCGTTTGAGATGACCGATCTTGGAAAAATGAGTTTCTTTCTAGGAATGGAATTTATATACTCTGAGAAAGGAATCCTTTTACATCAAAATAAGTATGAACTAGAGCTTCTGAAGAGATTTGAGCTAGCAAATCGCAAGGTTGCTATCACACTTGCTGATACGAATTAGAAGTTGGACTCTGATTCTGATGGAGAGGATGTGGATGCTACAACCTTCAAACAGATGGTTGGTTCTCTGAGGTATTTGTGTAATACCAGACCTGATATTTGCTATGCAGTTGGAATGGTCAGCAAATACATGAGCAAACCAAAGTGGTCTCATTACCAAACTACTGTCAGGATTCTGAGGTATGTAAAAGGAACTCTAAAATATGGAGTGTTATTTCCTTCTGAAAAAAAGATCGAATCAGAACTTCTGAGTTATTCTGATTCTGATTGGTGTGGAGATAGAGTTGACAGAAGAAGTACTTCTGGGTACTTGTTCAAGTTTCTGGGAGGTCCAATTTCTTGGAGTTCCAAGGAACAGTCTGTTGTGGCTTTGTCAACATGTGAAGCTGAATACATTGCAGGTTTTGTAGCTGCATGTCAAGCTGTTTGGCTTCTGAATCTTCTGGAGGATTTGAAGATTGAAATAAAGAAACCTCTGAAGCTGTTGATTGATAACAAGTCTGCAATCAATATTGCCAAGAATCTAGTGCTACATGGAAGAAGCAAGCACATTGAGACGAAGTATCACTTTCTCAGAAGTCAAGTGCAGAAAAGAGTGTTAGAAGTTCTGCACTGTAGCACTCAGAAGCAGCTGACAGATGTTCTGACGAAGGCGATAAAAACAGACCAATTTCTTCGCTTGAGAGATGAAATTGGTGTTGTTAACTTTTGATAATTACTAAATTACGGGATGATATTAGATGGTAATTTAGTATTTCCCTTTTATTGGATATTCTCTTTAGGCCCTATGTGGCATTCTTATCTTTACTACTTTTGTGTATAAATAGGTGTACTAGGTTTACATTTAATACAATCAATTCTCTTCAATCATTTGTGGCAGCTTTTAGCATTTATTCCTTTTCTCTCTTCTTCCTCAATTTCATCACCTTGCACCAACATTTATAGCAATATATTTTTACAGAATAGGAAATTAAATTAAGTGATGTTATTAGGGAGATTATTATGTTTTGATTTATTTAGGAAATCACAAATTTTGTTCACCATTTTTAATATAAAGTTTTTTATTTGCTCTGTTTGTGCATTAAGCCCTGTATTGATTTGTAGTAAGCAATTAACTCGTTTCTGTATTTGGTTTGTTCCACTTTTGGAAAGAAGTGAATGTACGAATGCTATTTTTATTGCCTACGAAAGCAGTAGGTGTTTGTGAAAAAAAGCAAACGTTATGTCTATTATTCTGAACTGGGCTCGTTAGTTTTTCTTTTGGGGCATACATGATTTCTATTAGGCCCGCTTGTTGTACCCCAAAATTTTCCCTCTCATTTTATCAAGTTTTCTCATCACAAGACTCTTTGAACTCAATACCAGATTAGGGTTTTGCACTGCTCAAGACATCTCCTTGCACTGATGACCTAAATAAGGGTTTGAGTTTGCATAAGGATTTTTGGACTTTCAATGCTCCAAGTGAGTTTCATACTTCATGTTGGACTTATAAGATTGCCTCTACCAAGTTTCAAGCTTTGAATCAAATTTTTGCCCAGTAAATGGGACAGTTGACCTAAAAATCAGCTGTATTGGAGAAAAAGTCAACTATGGCCAATTTACAGTCAAACCTCATAAATTTTGATCCACATCAACATTATAGGCTCATATGAACCATTTGATAAAGTTGGGACCACAACTCCTCAAGAAATTTGATCAGATCATCAAAAAGGCAAAATGGTCATTTTTAAGGTTTTGACTGCACAAGGGCAATTTTTGATTTTTAACCTAGCCAATGGCAAATTGGGCTCAAACATGGATTCAAGGACTCAATGGCATCATCTTGACCTATTCACAAGGTTCAAAGGATCTCAATTGCATTGGATTGACAAATGAATTTTTCAGTCAACTGATCAAAATTTGACAATACACTGAAAAGTCAAACTTTGACTTTTTGGTCAAAATCAAGTGCCAAGGGTCATTTTTCAGCAAGATGTGTCAAAACTTGAAACTTTTTCATCAAGAAACCCAATTTTGCAAATTAGGGTTTAAGTTTGAAAATTTTCATAACTTATAATTTTTCGAAGTTATGAAATTTTCTTAATTTTTCCCAACTTTGCCCAACATTTTCACCATGATGCAATTGGATTCAAACAAAACTTCTAACATGAAAGTTGTAGCCCTCCACAAAGTCTACAACTTTTATTCACAAAGTTTTCTCAAAAGAAGCTTGGATATCAAGTTATGATTTTTGGAACAAGGGTCCATGAATTTTTTAACTTAGTGAAATTTTGCCCTAGTTTAGGCAGGATTTTGACCCATCTTCATGGCCATTTTTCACATAGTTCCACTTAGAATCTCAAATTT